GCCATCCGCCTCTTTTTAGGGGTTGCTGCCGATCAGTTGTGAGCTGAAACCAAGCAAAAATGCACAGCAGCCAAGAGTAAATGAGGAGTAGTGAGGGATGCAACCCCAGAAATACATCTTGGTCCTTGAGTAGCAAGGTAATTTCCATAAGTGGGTTCGTTTGATGGGCCTTCTGAGAAACATAAAAACGGAAAAGTTCCAATATTTTCTCGCAGCTAGCTGACCTTCTCCTCCCAAGAATTATATAAGGCATGGCTTCCAATAAAATGGCATCAGGGACGTAAAGTTCTCTGGTCAACAAACACAGCTTGAGAGAGGAAGGGGGCCACACAAGGCATAATGTAAGTGTTTGAATTATAAAACAAGTGAATTGCAGCTGTAATTCAGACCTCGGGCTGGGGGCTGGCTCCAACCTAGACCTGAACAGGAGGTTACAGATAGTTCTGGATTTTTTCCCTTAAAAGCCAGGAATTTTAAGAAGCTGGGTTCAGAAGCCAGTTCACAGGCGATGGCCCCTAGAAGGTGACTAGACAAAACTGGGAAGGTGGGATCCCAGTTTGTGTTTGCCAGCAAGACATGATCAACGTTTGGTCAAATATTAATGGAACTTGCTTCAGTTGATGCAAATGGCAGAATTACAGAGCGATATGGAAAAAGGACAGCGTGCCAGGTAGCTTTGGAGTGTTTACTGAAGGCTCCTCATGTCTGATGCAATGAGTTTTCCTTTGGGTTTGATCTTCATTATCACCTGAATAGAATTGCCTTTTTATTTGGCTTTGTTTACAATTTTAAAATTTAATTTTGTAAAATATTTATAATATTTAAAACATTATAATGAGACTCTATGCCTCTTGAGCAATAATTTAATAATTACTTGACTTTAATGGCACTTTTCATCTTAAATTCTTTGTAGACATATTAAGGGAAGATACTTCATCTTTTTAAATTGCTGTTATCCTGGTGTCATTGCACTTTCATGAATATCTGTTGCAATGGAAAGTGAAATATGTGGAATCAAAATACAAATCTACCAGAGGTTTACTGGGTAGGTGAAAATAAAGCTTTGTGTGCTTTTCTATTATACTGATGTCTTTAGATTAGGTTTGTATAACTTTTATTCATGGAATCTAATTTTTTTCTGGATTCAACTGCTGTGATATGATATTAAAAAGCAAATTTTATAAATGTATTTTGACTCACTTGATGTAAAGCTACATGAATAAGGACACAAGAGCACTCATGTTTGTAGAGAAATAGTCCAGTGGCAAAGTCAAGCAGCCCCCACTTTTCTTCCCCAGAAAGCAGAGTTCAATTTGGTAAGCAGGAGAGTTTTTTTTTTTAATCTTTTTCCTTCTTCATTTTGAAAGGGACATAAATCTTGTTCACCTCCAGAGTCAAACTTCACAGCCTTATTCCAATGGCTTTCTTTCTTCCAAAAGTCTTTCCACAATTTTTCCTGGAATCTGAAATTCTTAAATGAATCCCTAATCTTCCTACTTCTCCTTAAAATGGCGCCAGGGGGCAGGAGCCTCAGCAGCTTTTGTTGTGTTCATCTTTACCTGTGATTCCTTCTTTCAATCCTGTCTGGAGCCTCACTCCCCCCGAGCCAAGTTATTTCTCCGATCAACACCTGGCGCTTCCCTGTCATTACTCTGCAACCGCTTCTTTTTTACATTTATCTGACTTCTCCTTCTCTGACCTTTCCTCACAGGAAATTCTTTAACTGCAAACCACATGGTTGGTGTGCATCCTTTCAGGTACTGTCCTGCCTTCTCTTTTCTTGTTGGGCTTCTTGCAAATGGTAGCCTTCTGCAAGAGTAGGCTCACATTAATCTTATTTCCTTTTCCTCGGTTCTCCCAAATTATGGACAGTGGCCATGCACCCAGCCAAGAAAACCAAGGGTACCTCACTGACCTCAAAAGCGGTCCCCTCAGCATCTCCTTCCTGAGCTCCTTCAGTTTTGTTCGCTGCTGGTCTTCCGCATGCCTGTTGATCGCACACCTTTTGGTCTTTTTCAGGTTCTTATCTCCCTGGATGTTAGTGTTTTCAAGATTTCTGCCCTGTGAGTTCTAATCCCTGCCTTCTTTCTCCCTGAGGAACTTCATCTATTTTAGACTTCAACTAGCATCTGTAACCACAGGTCAAACATGTCATGCTCTGTGATGCTCTTTCATACCTTCTTGCCTCTGCCTGGACTGTCATTCAAATGTTCCCGAGCAGCCTGATGAACTCCTTATCAATCTTCAAGGCTTGGTTCAAGGAGAATTGTCAAATGCCCTTTCTTTCTCCTTTCCTACATCCCCTTCCCTAACCCCAACAGAATGAGTTACTCCCTCCTCAGCACTCCTGTGACATTTTATATACATTTGCATGTATGTGTACATGAGTGTGTGTGTGTGTGTGTGTGTGTTTAATTTATCTATGTCTCAAGATTTCTTAAGAAAAGGGACTCTAGCTTCATGATTGCATTCCCAGCACACAGAAGAGTTGCAGTCAGTCAGACCAAGATGACTGCTTCCGATTAGAGGATGAAAGAGAATAACAATGTGCCTTCAGTTCAAGGTTACTTTTTCTTTGTTTTTCTCTCAAAGCAGCTAATGAGCAATGCACAGGATATAAATCAGACAAGGACGCTGGCAATAAATACAGCTCCCCATTGTTCCTCTTTGTACCTCACAGAGGTATGCCCAAAGTTTGGTGGCATTGGCAGGTCACCAAAGTGAGACATCTGCCGTGTCAGAGAAGCCAACAACTGTGGCTTTGCTGTGTTTTATATCCACAGCCATGTCAGCACCCAGAAAAATCTTATACCACCATATAAGAAAATAATTTTGCTACTCAATTGGGTGGCCACATCCAGCTTAATGGCCAAGTTTCTGAACTCAAAATCCTTGTCGTGCCAACACTGAGTCAACCTTCCCTTACCCATACTTGTGCTTTAGGACCTAGGAATTTTCTAGCATGGCTGCTTAGCAATTTTTCTTGACCCAGACAGGCTCAGATGCATTTCATAAATATTGAATGAAGTAGTTACCAAATTCATTCAATATTTATGTGGCTACCTCATTGAAGTAATGCACTGACTGCGTAATTCATTGCCCAGTCACCCATTAACAGTGGGGCAACTCAGCTCCACTGGGTACGCGTAGTAAAAGTTTCTCATCATGGATTACACGAGAGGAGTAATTATCTGAGACAACCCAGCGACATGAGTCCAGGAAAACTGATTGAGTTGGAGGAGTGGAGTCCCCTTTTTCTACCTCCCACTGTAATTCCAATATCATATTTTGTTTCAGATTGCTTCCCACCCAGTTGGATAAGGTGGTAACATTAATGATGGCTTGCGGTGATTCCATTCAGAAAGCCCCCTTTAAAGGATCCGAGAGTAGAGTGGCTGAACGCGTGTGTGTATGTATGAAGTTCATTCAGAGAAACTCAATTCTGTTTAAACTGAACTTTGTGTCCTAAGAACTCTACTTTACATAAGTACCACTTTGCACACAACATAGCGGAATAGCTACTCATCCTTCAGAGAGGATTTGATAACAGCTTGGTCAATTGTCCCCAGAGATACAAGGGAAATATAGGTCCCTAACTAATAAGCATTAATGGAGGGCCTTCTATGCACCAAGGACCATGAAAGACTATTTTAGACTCAAGGAGTTTACAAATATGTTTGTTAGCTAACCAGCCATAGGCAGGGCTCAAAAGCCTTCCTTTTCTGTAGGGTGTTGCATCTAATCTACTGACATTCCAATTCTGCAACCTCCTGAGTTTTCTTCCACGTAGTGTCGTCATCAGAGTAGGTGAAGCAATATGAACACATACATATTTAATTTGTTTACAATGATTATGACCAAATTAGAGGAAGATACGTCTCTTCCAAAGAGGTTCTTATATATTCAGGCTTAGCCCAACTCCTATAACAAAATCCAAAGTCACTCCATTTAAGATCTGCTACTTTGTCATTCAAACTCCTCCCAGACTCATTCCTCAGTTTTTTCCAATGGTGGAGCAAACATGATTGCATGTTATTCCCCATTGATTACTATTTATTTTTTTTTCCTTAAAAGTACAAATTTATCACCATGTTGCAAAGCCAAGCATGTGAAGACTGGGGAAGTGTTTTCCAGGAGGAAGAAGCAATATGTGCAAAGCTCTGAGGCAGAAATAAGTAGAGTTCGTCCAAGGAAGACAAAAAAGGCTGGTGTAGCTGGGACATAGTGAGTGAAGGGACAGTGATAGGAAGGGGAGATCATGCAGGCCAAGTTAGGAAGCATAAGTTTCTTGCAAAAGCAATGCAAAGCCATGGGAGGTTTAAGGCAGTGGGGTAATGTGATTAAAGTCATAATTCAAGGCTCATTCTTACTGCTGCATCTTTGTAAGGCAACCAGAGTGGAAGTATGCAGACCAATCAGGAGGCTGTTTCCATATTCTAACTTGGAGGTGATAGTGTTTAAGCTAAGGTTATAGCAATGGACTTCGAACAAAATGGAAGGATTTGAGATACATTAAATATAACTTTCTGACAAGCATGACACATTTAAGGAACAGAAAAGCCAGTGTAGCTGAGGAAGTGAGCAAGGGAAAGAGTGATGGGAAGGTGAGGTCTGAGAGGTAAGCAGGAATCATATCCAAAAGGCCAAGTTAGGAAACTTGCTGTCAAATTTGGGAGAATTTGTTGTCAAATTATACATGGGGAGCAAAGGGAAAGAGAGGAACCAAAGGTGGCTCATTTCCAGGTGTGAGGTCAGAGCAAATTAATAGCTGTCAGTGTCATCTACTGAGACAAGGAAATCCTGGGGAAAAATTGATGTTGGAAAACAAAATCTAGAGTTTGGTTATAGACATGGTAAAAGACTAATAGTAGCAACCTTGTATGATTGTTGGGCCAACTAAATGACCAAATGCATAAAAAGCACTTTCCCAATGAGCCTTGTACAGGTAAGAACTCAAAAATTTGGATTGTTATATTTATTATCAACATTATTACTCACAGGACTATCTTCATCAACACAAGAACTTAACGAAAGGCAGCTCCATTTTTCCAAGACCTCCATATCCACAGTGCACGGCGCATTCTGTAGAAAACGTCCACTTGTCTTCTCTCCCTTGTGCACATGCAATCAACTATTTTGTGAATGAAAGGGAAGTGAAGCAGAGGCAAATGAAATCGACAAAGCCCCTATGCATCTGACTTTTTTTGCATGACGATTAAGAGTTTTTCACAGATGGATTACATTCTTTCCATCATTAGTTAAGCCCGTCTTAGTAAAAATTCTACTCAGGAAAACGTCTGGGAAAGGCAGGTCGATTTGGTTATGCAAAGAGCTTTGCTTCCTATAAACTCAGAGTATCTGTTAGATAGAAATTACGGGTAGAAGAGGAGAGCAGGGAATTTCCCACCTCCCTCCACATCTGCCCTCAAATCTGCCCCTACCGCCACCTCCAGATGATAAACAGTCACCTTCTTGACACATTCATATACTGAGAAAGGAACATCAGCATAGGAAATAATTGCCACACAGAACACATAACTTTCACTTGCCCTCAGGATAGAAAATGCACCAGGACACCCTCTGTGAGTTGGAGGAGGGAAAGCAATTATTTAGATCCACACTCTTTATCAACATCCCTGAAGCAGAAAGCAAAATGAATAACAAGTAAAGGGATGTCACTTCCAGACACTGTGCCTCTAAAAATAAAAGCAAAAAAGGACACACATCTATCCTGAGTTTGGTCCTGGATTTGCCTGTGCAGTGAGTAGACAGCTGTGGGTCTAGTTGGCCATTATCACAAAGAGTCAGAAAGGAAGGATACACTAGGGAAATGTCTCTGCAGCTTTCTAAAGGCCAATGGCACTTGGGAGTACTTGGGTACCACATGCAACCCCTCAGATATTCCTCGTGGATGACAGTCATTTCATGGGGTTTGCCAGGTGAATTTTTCAGGGTAATTTCTGATGCATCTGAAATGTTTGGTCTTCATATGGTTGATACAGGCTGATCGCCTGTCTGCCCTGCAAGAAGCTAAATTTATCATTTTTAATTGACAAGAAAACTCTGAATTCAGTCAAAGCCAAATGTGAGAAGGACTGAGAGTCATCGAAAATGCTACTAGAAAGGTCTCTTTCCCAAAAGGGCATTTTGCCCTTAAGGAAGCACAAATGAGGCAGGCATATTTGGGAATGTTTGCTGCTTTACGCAAATGCACGTTTTCTCCCCCACATCACCTGTGCGTCATGTAAAGTGACATTTCCTCTGGTCGTTATGCATTTTCTTTCAGCAGCAGAGGAACTGTTCATGGAAAAGGCACAGTTGTCAGCCCATGACGTAGTGCTTTTCAGGAAACTTGATCCAGGCTCCCCCCCACCCCCAGAGCCTGATTTGTTTCTTGGGGGTCGTATGTTTCTCTTCTTCAGATGAGAATGCATATCCCAAGCACAGGGTTCCATAAAAAAACTAACATCTAAGAAATCTAGTAAGTATCCTAACCTTTAAAAGCAGGGCATTAAAGTAACCATCAGCAAAAGAAAATAGCATTGAAAACAGCCCCAGGCTGCGGTCCATCCACAGATGCACAGCGTGGAAACTCTGCACATCGCAAACAACAGGACAAGGAGGGGCAGGCTCAATTTGCATATCTAATATAAGATTTAATATACACATGTGAACAGAAACACAGCTGTAGGGTTGGATGTAGCAAGACAAGGTAGAGTATAAGCAAAGGAAGCAGATTAAGAAATCATTGTGCTTCTCTTTTTTTAATTAAAGAAAAAGTTATTCGTATTTAAGTGTTAACCTGGGTCAAGTTTTTTTCTTTTTTCCAGGCAGAGCTCACTACCAATCTCTAGTTATAACACACCAATCATGCAATAAAGTCTCCAGAATGCCCGCTTGCGCCTTGGTTCATTGATGAAGAATGTGTTAGGCGCACTTCCGGCTGGGAACATGAAGGCTTATTAAAGCTATAAATAGTTACGCTCAGATTATGATTTTAAGACACAAGAAGGATCAAATAGGCAGTTGCCTCCTGACCCTCTCTTCGGTGTCCGTCCAAAGTTTTGGAACAACAGCCCTTCTTTGACGTTTAAAATTTTATTTCCGGGACCAGCTCTCTGCAAAGGGCCAATCAGTTCAGCAAAGTGCACAGGAAACTAACAAAAGAAGACCCAAACAACCAGTGGCGCGACCATTCCTATAGGCTCTCCCGCCAAATTAGGCCACCTGCCAGGGCTGCATGAGAAACTGGGTTGCATGGAGGGAAATGACACAACGTCCTCAGAAATCCCACATTTTTTCCAGGCAAGCACCAGAGTAGACAGAACAAAGGATGTGCACGCCTCCACCGCAGGCATTTATACCCTCACTGGGACCCACTCTTGTGAATACGCCCAGTGAGAGCCATTCAGGAAGAATTTGAGAGGAGGGACCCGCCCCTGCCCTGCAGACCCTGCATGAACGTCCGAGAAGCATGGTTATAAGAGCGCTTGCTCTGCTGTTTTTACCCCAATGGCACGTGTTTCCTGCTGCATGCTGCTCTGTCCTTCTCATTAAAGCAAAGATCCATGTCAATGCATCAGTGAAAGAGGATTACAAACTAAAGCGAACACACACGTTCTGGACCAGAGGACTTGACAAACCCTTCAATCCATCCATCCATCGCCTTTAGGAAGAGCTGCGGGAACACCTCGCCGTGCTGTTTCCGCTAAAAAAGAAAGTATTCAGGATCTGTCAGTGGCTTTAATCCACTGCTCCATCTCTATGGTAATAACTCATCATGCAAAGTCTGCCTCTGAAAGCCAGCCACATGCGGCTTCGACGAAGATCCCTCTGTGAAGTCCTTGTTTAATGTAATGTATCAAGCCACCAACGAGCAACAATTTACTGAGAACTCTATTCCCCTGAATCAACTTCCTAGCATTGTTTGGATGTTGTAGAGGAAACTGAAGGCATTGTTTGTGAACAGGATGGCTTTCGACCTGCTCAGCTTCCTGGAAGGAAAAATTGCCGAGCATCACCTGAACATCAGTATATTTCTGCTTAGCATAATGGAAGAATCTTAATGACAACTAACCTTTTGTATAATGAATTTAAATACTGAACTATAGGTGTCACTTTCCAAAAGTAAGTTAAAATCCACATGGATTCTGTGGCCATGCATATACGCTGCTAGATTAGGTTAAAGCCATCACATCTGCAGACCAACAGGGACAGAGTAGAAGCCGTTGCCAAGTACAGCAAC